ATTTCTGTTGAGTCAGAACCAAATTTAACATACTGCGGAACAATGATTTGTTTATTTCGGGGTCGAAACAGCATAGCTTTAGACTTGTTTACCTTTATTTTTAATCGATTAGTAATTGACCAGCATTGAAGAGACTGCAAGACAGCGTTAGTTTCCCTTCCGATCTGGTCAGACGAGTCCAACGAAAAAAGTATGGTCATATCATCGGCATACAAAATGCACTTAGCTTGTTGACATAAGCTTAAAATATCATTAATATATAAATTAAACAACAAAGACTTTGAACTCGACAACTTCGCCGATAACGATGTTAACTTACTATGGGACAAGTTCCAAACAGTTTGCCATTTCTGCATCGATAACTTTATTCCCGTGAAAACGAAGAAGGTGCGCCGCGCAAACCCGTGGATCAATCGCGATATCATTCATTTAGTACGCAAGATCAAAAGGTTGAAAAAGCGTAAGGTAAACAATTCGTTATCCAGAACCCTGCGCCAAACACTAGTGGATAAAATTTGTGCGAGTAAGCAATTTTTCTATTCCACCACCTTGCCTAATTTTATTAAAACTAATCCTTCAAAATTCTGGCGTCACCTAAATGCGAGAGGGCGTGACGACATTAATAGCATAATAATAGGAAATCAAACTATAACCGATAAACAGCTGATTGCGAACGAATTTAAATGTTTCTTTCAATCCGTTTATTCTGATTCAGTGCCTTGTAAAGATATTGGAGAGATACGTATTGTAACCGGACTGAACTCTGACTTTATCAGTTATGAAGGAATAGTTGCAATGTTACTTAATCTTAAATTGAAATCCTCTGTAGGCCCTGATAAGATTCCAAACATGTTTCTCTATCGGTACGCCGAATCCATAGCTAAATTTCTAGTTGTTATATTCCGTCTTTCCTTTTCTGAAAGTGTTGTCCCCGCCAAGTGGCGTATTGCACGTACAGTTCCTGTTTTTAAAACTGGCGATCGAGCCATCGTTACTAACTATCGCCCTATTTCGCTTCTCAATTCCTGCAGCAAACTCATGGAGCATATTATTTCCAGCTATCTGGTCGACTTTTTAAATTCCCGCAATATTTTAACACCCTTCCAGTATGGTTTCCGTAAGGGCCTATCTACTATCACTCAACTCGTTTCTATTGTGCATACCTTTTCTTCAGTTCTCGACAAGCCCGGCCTAGTTGACGCAGTATTCCTAGATCTAAGCAAAGCATTCGACAGGGTTTCGCATTCAGGTCTTCTCTATAAACTTAATACACTTAATGTCCCGCATCTTCTAATAAAGTGGATTGCCTCATACCTCGAACATAGAAAACAATTTGTTGATGTCAGTGGTCACGTTTCAGATCTTGGATCAGTTAACTCCGCAGTGCCTCAGGGAAGTGTCCTGGGGCCTTTATTATTTCTGGTATATATAAACGACATAACCTCTTGTGTGCACGAAAGTGTTGCTATTCGTTTATTTGCGGACGACTGTCTTCTGTACAGAGCTGTTGAATCAACTAATGACCAAATTACCCTCAACGACAGCCTGAATTTAATATCCAATTGGTGCGACACTTGGGGAATGAAGCTTAAACAAACTAAAACGGTGTACATGCGCATAACTAATAAAAAATGTCCTCTTATGTTCAATTACTCTGTAAAGGGAGTCGAAATTTCTCAAACCAATAGCTTTAAATATCTCGGCTTAACATTTACAAATAATCTAACCTGGTCAATCCATATCGACAAAATCTGTGCATCAACTCGGCGTAAGCTCGGCCTCTTACGTCACAAACTAAAAAAATCCCCCTCCCATGTTGCCATTGTTGTTTTTGCATATAACACGCTAATCAGGCCTCGTCTTGAATACGCGTGTATCGTTTGGGACCCGTTCACTAAAAAAGACATTAGCAAACTTGAACAAATTCAGAGGCTGGCTGTACGGTTCATATATAATCGTTACCGCCGACATGACTCGCCTACCTCTTTAATGCAAACAAACAACATCATGACCTTACAGAGCCACCGTAAAATAACAAGACTAAAATTTCTTTATCAGCTTTGGAACCGTAAATTTGCACTCGACCCCGCTCCCTATCTAAACATTTTGCCCTATAGACCCACCAGGAACTTTCACCCTTTTAAATTTAACTCGATTTTTGCACGCACAAACATATTCAAACATTCCTTTTTCCCGCGCACCATAAGTGATTGGAATGCCTTACCATCTGAAACCTTCTTATCGAATAATGTTCTTCAGTTGTTTAACCAGTTCGCAGAATAAATTGTAACGGTGCCTTTATCCTGTGATTGGTTTCCCATATCTAGTTGTGTAAAATCTGTGCTACGCTACTGTTATGATCATTGCTGCCTTGCTTCGTTTTTTTTCCTTCTTATGTGCCATATGTCTGAAAAATGCACTGATTAGTCCTCCCCTGTTCTCTGGTGTTTTCTTCGATTGTTCATTGCTTATTTCTTCTTGCTCTCAATTTGTATTTCTTTTTTTGTTTAAATCTGGTTTTCATCATTGATACAAAAACAAACCACTCCTGCTTGGGCCGCCCTAGGCCTGCAGTATTGTATAAATAAATAAAAATAAAATAAGGTCCTAATATACTCCTTTGTGGAACTCCAGCTATTATACGCTTAACAGATGATTTGTGGGTATCAATACAAACATACTGTGTGCGACTGGCTAAGTAAGAGGCGAGTAAAGAGTGAACACAACCACGGAAGCCATACCTATCAAGTTTCGATAAAAGTATGTTGTGATTAATGCAATTGAATGCCCGAGAAAAATCTATGAACACGCCTAGAACAACTTTCTTTTCTTCGAAGGGGCGTAATACGTATTCTTTTTGTTGAAGTAGTGCTAATTCCGTAGATTTGTGTGTTACAAAACCGTATTGATCTGCAAAAACTAATTTATGAGTTTTACAAAATGATTACACACGAATCTGAATTATTTTTTCAAGCCCTTTAGAAAATACCGGCAATATTGACACGGGTCGATAGTTTGACGCACATCTCCTGTCTCCCTTTTTAAAGAGGGCGGACACTTTTGCCTTTTGCATTTCGGTGGGAAAAACGCCTGAATTAAGGCAGAGGTTAAAGATGTCTGTAAGTATTGGGGTTAATATATTAAGGACGTATTTCACCGGCTTTATCTGGACGTCATCTGCATCCCGGCTTTGAGAATTTTTCATATTCATAAAAACAGAATAAACTTCTGAGCATGTTACTGGGTTCATAAACATGCAATTACTGTTATAAAAATAGGAATTTTCATTTGGCGGTGCAGCACCTTCAGTCCTGCGGCTAACAAAATGATCGTTAAAGGCATCACACATGTCTATGCCCGTGACGCTAGCTCCATCAACAACGATCTCAACGGGAGCTATGACATTGTTCGACTGCAAAACTACCGTATTTATTTGTGTCCATATTTTTTTCACGTCATCTTTACAGGATTCAAACAGAGCGTAATAGTACGCATCTCTTGTCTGTTGTAATTCTTTGTTGAGTTTATTTCTGTATAGTTTAAACTGCGAAAATAGTTCTTGATTACGCTGTCCAACAAATTTTTTGTACATTTGATTTTTCTTCCGAATTTTTTTCAATAAGCTTGACGTAATCCACCCTTTTTTGCTTTTTTAGATGGGAAACAGGCGCGGGTTGGAAAATAAGTATTGTATATTTCTACAAATTTTCCAAAAAAGTGTTGTATGCAACTTTGCATCCGTCATGGCGACGACGTGAGCCCAATTCACACAAGCAACTGCCTCTCTAAAGGCCTCGAGTCCATTTCCGGTAACGCGTTGTACTAGACGCCGCCTCGACACCGTCTTGTTTACTTGTGTTTTAACTGCGAATAGAACTGGAAAGTGGTCACTAATACCGTAGCCAACCACGGAACTTAAATAACGATTATCGTCAATGTTTGTAATAAAAAGGACAATAAGAGATTCGGTTGTAGGTGTAATTCTTGTTGGTTTATTAACGGAATTGACGCAGCCGTTGGCTGAAATCACTGCAAGAAAATTTCTGGTAACGTTACTATCAGAAAGCAAATTTATATTAAAATCACCTCCTAACACTACGTGATATTTTTTGAGATATACATAATTCAAAAATTTATCTAAAAATGAAAGAAAATTCATGATACGACCAGCAGGAGGACGGTAACAAACCGCAATAACCATGCAGCCCGATAGTGTACCAAAAAATTCATAATCAGGTGTAAGTTCACAAAATTCAAGCAAGGGGTCACAAGCAATTGATTTTTTAACCAGGACACAAACTCCACCACCGGCACCAACTGTTCTATTTAAAAAATAAGAGCTATAATTTGGAAGCTGAATAACTTGTTCCGGACAGGTATACCAAGATTCAGTTAACATAAAAACATCCATCATGTCAAGCTCATTAAACAGTTGTTCGAGGGTTGCCGACTTATTAACGGCCGATTGCACGTTGAGGTAGAAACAGCGAAAAAATGTGTCACACAGGATTGGTTGATTTTTCAATTGATCAAAGGTGTCGTACTTAACTGTGGCCATTATTGTTGAGAGTTTCCGTTAGCCGAAGCATTCTTTGTCTTACTTGCTCTTGAACAGCGACTGGTTGCCGTGCTTTATCATATGTACTTGACACACAGACCAGACTACACACCATAAGCAGGAATATTACGGGGCGTATATATGCAAAAAACCGAAAAGGAACACTAAAAACAGAGCTCAATTCTAAAGCAAAGGTGTGGTATGATTCACAGAATAATTGGGATAACGAAGGAACCGACAGTATTACGGCGCCCTTCACATGTTCAAAAATTATCTGCATACAAAGAACAGATTCAATTTTTGCGTATTTCACCGGGGTGATGTTACAGTTTTCACGCAAGTCGCAAGAGCAGCAAAGACAGATTTGATAAATGCAGTTTTTCTCTACAAGCTCTGATGCGATCGGAAAAGGGCAAGCCATCTAACATATTTCAGGATCAATTTAAAGCACTTTGGCAAGGTCAGCATTGCAGGTGATATGCAGTACAGGTGACTTTTCTGCCTTCCGCATGAGAATTCTGCCCTGGGATACCCAAACAAACTTCCAGTTTTTATCGCGCTTCGCCTGACGAGCCTTGCCCAGCAGTATTTTGTTTTTAACACAAAGGTGCTCATTTAAGTAGAGCGGGAGGTCACGGTCAAAACCGAGAAGACCCGTCTGCAGTTTCTTTTTTCTAGTGGCTTCGAGCAAACTGTCTCGTGCACGTCTTGTTCGAAATTTGACTATTACATTGAATTCATCTTTTTTTTTCGTTGGCACCCGATGAGCGACGTCAATGTCGTCTTTGCTAACTTTGACTTCAAGGCACTTAGCAATGTCTTCAACGACTGTCTCCAAGTCTTCGTTAGGCGCCACCGGTAGACCTTGAATTTCCACGTTCATATTCCAGCTATACTGCTTAAGATCAACCAATTCTTTCCTAGCCACAGCAAGCTCTTTCCTTAACTCCTGATTTTGTTTGCAGCATTCTGCATTTCGGGTCTTTACCTCAGCAATCTCACGACGAAAACCATCGACATCTTTTTTGAAGTTCTCAAAGCAGTCGTTCATGAATTTCATAGATTTGTGAATACCGCCCAGCTCGGTACGAATTTCCGCATTGGAAGTTGCCACCTCTGCTACCTCATTTTTTACGTCACTCGAAAAGACGTCAAGCTTGGCTAGCAAATCGCCCAAACCCTTTACGACCTCCTTAATACTGTTTGGTTGCTTTTCAGCAAGCGCCTTCGTCACGTCCTGAAGGCCGCTAGTATTTCGCTCCCCCATACCTCGCTGAGGGACGCCGGCAGCGCGAGAAGAACTTTGAGAGGTGTAGAAAACGACTTCAAAGCACTGCTAGCAAACAGAGAGGTAGCACACTTGTGACAGCACACTTGGGGCAGCGACAGCAACGGCATGCAATTTAGGCGAAGTTGTGGTTGGCATAAGCCGCCAAACCAACCTGCAAAATTGTAGAAGAATTGATCAGGTAGCGTTCACACGCCACCACTGCCGCTGCCAGAATGATCCTCGCTCCAGTAGACGCGGCAGCACCGCCCCCCGCGATGCCAGCGATAGGAAGTCAAAGTTTTTGGGCAGCACTGGTAGATGGCAGGGCCAACAACGCAGGTTTGCAGTGAAGCCGGCTCACGGAGCGGAAAGATGCGGCGTTCGTCCACACATCCGCCCCTGCGTCCGTCCATGCGTCCATCCATCGGTGTAGTCATCTGTGAATCCGCCCATGCATCTGTCTGTGTGTCCGTTCGTCCACCTATTCAACACTCCAAGTACCACCATCTCGCATCTTTTCATCATATATTGCCGATATAGAAGCACCGCCATCCAGTGGACATTCCAAGGACTGAACGAGAGGTGGCACACGCACACTTTCTTACGGCTTGCACTTCGTGTTTAGTTCCCACCTTTAACCACCTCGACTTCATGGTATATACTAGTTTACTGTATTCATGGCACCGCGGCCCAACGGTCGCTAAATCTTTCTAAAACGAAGGAGGTTAAGCCCGGCGAGTATAACGTGGCAACCTTTTCTTGTCAGATGTTTCTCAAGGTACATGCCAATGGCTGCTAAGGGGGAATGAGAGACAGGAGAATTCGGCTTTTACTTTCTTACGGTTTGCGCTTCGTACCTACTTCCCACCTTCAACAACCTTGAGTTCATGGCATATGCTACTTCACTGTATTCATGGCACTGCGGCTCAACGCTCGCTAAACCTTTCTAAAACCAAGGAGGTTACGGCCAGCGAGTATAACGTAGCAACCCTTTCTTGTCAGATAGTGCTCAATATGCATGCCAATGGCTGCTAATGGGGAATGAAAGACGGGAGAATTCGGCTTTTAGCTAACGCACACGCTACGAATTTTTTATTGCTCAACAACGCACAGGAGAAATCTCCCACCGGCACCACCTTGCAGGTCAAAACGTAAGACTGGTTACACACTACGACTACAACTACGACTACCACTACGACAACGAGAAACGAACGGGTGCCGCTATAAGGAGCTTCGCCCCTAAAAAAAAAAACACATGTGAGCCGAGTCTGACAGGGGCTATACAAGAAAGCACGTTGATTGTCATTCTCTGATCAGCTTCCAAGCCTCACTTTAGCTGAAGCGAGCCTGGCTTTATTTTTATTGCATGCAGAAAGATAGCAGAAACACAGTACAAATATTTCTTTATAATATACACAGTGTCATTAGAGGAACACTTTGGTTTTTATTTCTAACACAGTTCAACTGTTGCAATCTCAAAGTTTACATGCCTCTCATACTGTAATTTAAGTCTTTAATGCCTTTCATTAGGCACAAGTACTACACTAACATATCAACTGGAATATAACGAATTGCTCAGAAGTGAAAGGTGGTCAAATATGACCATGCAGGCCATTGCTCATTTATTCAAAGAACACTATCTGCATGCAGCCGCACCAGTGCCCTCTGTCTCCTTTAATTTGAACACACTCTCAGCAACAATGAAGGTGGTGACCTTATTAGAGAGAAATTCGGTGAAACAGTTGCTTTAAATCTGGCAGAAAGAGCATTTTAACCACGTAAATATTAGTTCAGTGTGTGTATATGCCCCTGTTTCACATCATGGCGATAGGCAGCAGGTCGTCAGAACAATCGTGTTGTGTCTGGGAGGTCGATATTTTGGTTGGGAAAGCTGAGTTGGAGCCAGTGTTCATGATTTCTTACAGCATCAACTCCAGCATAAGTTCATACGTTGGTGGTTGACGTGCTAATTGTGTCGCATTGTAGTCTGCTTTCATGTCTAGTCCACTTGCAGTCACCAGTTTTAGGGGTATTTTCAAGAGTTGTACTGAAGCCATTGTTAGGAATCCAGGTCCAAGTATATTCCATGGGTGCATAAGAGCCGGATTTCAGTAATGGCTTTCTTCTCCATCAGTGTGTAATCCTTGTAAGGTTCTTGTGCAAGAAAGGCATTGAAGGTAGGTTTTCATGACTTTTCAGTGCCGTGCATGAACTGCTGACATGACTGGAAGGGTTTAATTTTTCTTGTGGTGTTGTCTCAGTCAGGGCCACGCAGCCTTTTGTTGCTTTATAATATGTCGCTTCGTAGGATTGCTCTTTGGATGCTTCTTCAGTGCTTTGTACTCTTATTAAAGCAGGTACTAGCATTTGTTGATTGTGGTGCTTTTATTTGGTGTTCCACATACTTCTCGCTAAATTATTTGCACGCAAAGCTAGAAATCAAGGTATAGGGGCAACATTTGCTTTGAGTTTTCTGTTGTTATTGTTGTATTTTAGCCAGGGTTGGTGCCAGGATTGGTCTATACCCGGGGTACATTCTCGATAAGCGAGGCATTTCAGGGGGAGCAGAGAGGCGGGGAACTTGGCCATTGTGTGATGATTATGTTCCCTCTTGAGAACATAGTCACAGCACATAGTCATAACACAACAGGGGGGTCAGGCAAAATTTGGGGAGGGGGCGGGGCCTCCAGCCTCCCTGTGCCTACTCCTGGCACCACCCCTAATTTTAGCCGGTGTCATTTGACTGCTGAAGACCTCTTGTGACAGCTCTCCTTCGTGAACTCGTTGTTTGTCAGTTACTCACCTTATCAGTTGACGACTGTTCATGTGATAAGATAAACCTCTGTCGGTTCTTGTTTCGTTATTTGCTGATGGCGTATCCTCAGTATCTTTTCTCAGTATGCCCTTATCTTACTTGGCTTGAAGATCAGCAACGTTACAACTTTCAACTTTTAGCATGTTTTTATACACTGTAAAAGTAATCGCGGCTCCTTTCTCCTTCATTATGTCTTAGAAGGTTGGCATGTCAGTCTTTCTCCTCTCAGCTGGCGAGTGTTTTTGGTAAGTAGGACTTTGTCGTTGCAGCCTTTTGGTACCTGATGCAGTGCTCACTCAGCCAACCTTTTTGACACAGCAGAAAACACGAAAAGTGGGACAAATTACTACAGGTGTGTCCTTTTTTGGTTGCAGCTTGTGTATCTTTGCAGTGGTGATGTGCTGAGTACGTATTACTAGCTCGACAGGCAAGGCCTCTTCTTTTAGTGAGCTTCAAATAAGGTGCGAAGAGTACAATTCAGACCTGCTTCAGACAGAACAATCTCAAGGCACTCAGTGTTAGATTCCAAGGGGAAAAAAAGATGTGTTATTTTGTGTGAGGAGACAGCCAGCTGGCCTTAGCCGACTTACTTAACGTAAAATTAATAAAGGACAGCGGGTGTGAAATAGCACACTCTACTTTACAGCAACCAGCTTGCCAGACCTGTGAACACACTTCCTTCTTTGCAAAGGCTTAAGAAAAGCAGGAGGAAGCTCTGTGTTTGATGGAAACAACACGACGCCATAAGCGTGCATGTTTTTTGTTTAGAAAGAATTTAGCCTACGTGTTGTATGTTCTATGCATCAGCGCATATCAGCTCGCTCAAACGTTTTTTTTTGCGCGCGTACTGCGGGCCCAATCACGTCTACGTACTGCTTAAGCTAGCTATTTTGGCTACAGTAGGGCAGCATATATATATATATATATATATATATATATATATATATATATATATATATATTGTCACGGTACAGCGTGAACCAAAGGCAGATAAACGTTGACACAGGGACTCTCAGCAGCCAAACAGCAAGATCGCCTTCTTTATCTTCAATCAGCCAGAGCTCCACTACCTGGTGTCCGCCAAATCCCATTATCATCGTTTTGGTCCACCAGTACACACGCGTCATTTGCCCCCCATCTTAATGAGCATCGCCCCGATGCTAAACCAGTAGTGCAGTTTTTTTTTCTGTTCTTTAAGAAGTTTCTTGCGCAGTCACTACCTTTCATAAGGCTTCATGCGCACAACGTGGACTAGTTCTGGACGGTGCTGGCGAAGCCTCGTACTATGTGAATTGTCGGGGACGACCTCGTAGGTAACATCACTCAGTCGTCGCAGTACTAGATATGGCCCAAAGTATCTCCTTAAGAGCTTTTCAGAGAGTCCTCGTTTCCGTATGGGCGTCCAAACCCATACTCTGTCGCCGGTCTGGTAAACGACTGTTCTGCGGCGAGAATTGTAGCGGCTCGCGTCATACTCTTGTTGTTGCTGGATTCTCAGGCGTGCTAGTTGTCTTGCTTCTTCCGCTCGTTCTGTAAACATCTTGGCGTCCGGTTCGATGTCGTCGCATTCGTGCGCTAGCATCGCATCCAACATGGTTCGTACTTCCCTTCCGTCAATTAGGCTGAACGGGGTCATCTGGGTTGTTTCTTGCTTGGCAGTGTTGTAAGCAAACGTGATATATGGCAAGATTTCGTCCCAATTTTTGTGCTCGACGTCTACGTACATAGAAAGCATGTCTTCAATTGTTTTGTTCAGACGCTCTGTAAGCCCGTTCGTTTGCGGGTGGTAGGCGGTGGTCTTACGATGGGTTGTTCCACTCAGCATGAGGACTTGTTCCAAAAGAGCTGCCGTAAATGCGGTTCCTCTGTCTGTGATTACGACGCTTGGTGCACCATGCCGCAGGACAACGTTCTCGATGAAAAATTGTGCCACCTCCGCTGCTGTACCTCTCTGGATAGCCTTTGTTTCAGCATAACGGGTAAGGTAATCAGTCGCGACAATAACCCAGCGGTTCCCAGCAGTAGAAGTAGGAAGTGGGCCCAAAATATCCATGCCAATCTGGTCGAATGGTGTTCTTGGGACCTGCACGGGCTGCAGGAGGCCAGCTGGTTTAGTCGGCGGTGACTTCCGTCGCTGGCAGTCGAGGCAAGTACGAACATGGTGTTTTACGGCTATGGTCAG